GTGGTATCCCTCCAGGTATGGCTTTAATTTTCTTATGGCCCACACGATTGCTAAACATTCCTTTTCAGTGGCGGAGTAACTTTTTTCCGACCCGTTTAGGGTCCGACTGGAATAGGATATCACCCGCTCACCCTGGTCGGAATTTTGAGTGAGAATGGCGCCCAGCCCATAATCGCTGGCATCGGTCTGCAGCACAAACGGCTTTGTAAAATCCGGGCATGCCAAAATTGGGTCGGCGACCAATCTTGCCTTGACAGCTTCAAAGGCCTGCTGGTGGTAGTCGGTCCATTCCCATTTGACACCCTTTCGGAGAAGGGCGTTCAGCGGATGCACTAGCGTGGCAAAATTTGGCACAAAACGCCTGTACCACGACGCCACTCCCAAGTACTGCCGTAGTTCCTTGACATTTGCCGGTGGTTTTAGCAATGCTATCGCTGATACCTTTTCCGGATCCGTCCCGATGCCCTGGTCTGTAATGCGATGCCCTAAGTATTGAAGTTCCTTCCTGAAGAATTTACACTTATCCGCGTTTACTTTCAGGTTTGCCGCTCGCAGTCTTCTGAATACTTCCTTTAGGTTCCGCATGTGCTCCTCTAGTGTCCGTCCGATGACGATTATATCATCCTGATACGCGAAAGCGTGCGGCATCATTTCTGGTCCAATTACCTGGTCCAACGCCCGCTGGAATGTTGCTGATGCCGAGTGTAAACCGAAAGGCATAACTTTCCATTGAAACAGGCCTTTCCCTGGCACTGTGAATGCGGTATACTGCCTGCTGGCTGCCTCCAACGGTATTTGCCAGTACCCGTCCTTTAAGTCGAGGCTGCTTATATATTTAGCTTCTCGGAGTTGGTCCAGGATGTAGTTGATCATCGGCATTGGATATGCATCCTTCACGGATTTTGCGTTGATCTGCCTGAAATCCACACAGAGCCTCCATTTCCCGGTCTTCTTTCTCACCATGACTATTGGTGAGCTGTACGGACTCCTTGACGGTTCGATGCATCCCTTTTCAAGTAGCTCGTCTACTTTGGCGTTGATCTCGCCCTGCATTTTTGGATTCTTCGGATAGTACCGCTGTTTGACCGGCTGATCGTCCATCATGGTGATCCTGTGTACTGCCACGTTTGACGTGCCTTGCTGATTTTCCAGGCTCTCCAACTCGGTCTTTAAAAACTGGTCCACATCCTTCTCCGAAAATTCCTTCGCGGCTTCCACGACTGCTACCGACAGTTTTTCTTCTAGCCAGCCTCGGTGTCTGTCCCTCGCCGGTATCATCACTCTGTGACCTGCGCATTTCACCTCGGCTCCGATTTTGGTGAGGAAGTTCCATCCTAGCACCAGTTCGTCAATCAATCCTGGGAGGATCAGCAGCTCCATTGACACTTTTCTTGTGCCAAGTCCGATTTGAATTTCTAACTGCGATTTTACGTCTCCGCATCTACCGTCCGCCATCCGTACTTGCCTCTTTGTGGGTCCAACCTTTCCTGCCGCCTGCAGCCTGTCCGCCAGCTCTTTGCTGATGAAACTCGCTGTCGCGCCGGTGTCCACCGTGGCCTTAACGTTCGCGTCACCTATGAGCACTGTGGCGGACAGTTGCATTTCTTCCGCCTTCAGGTCGCCCATTATTTTTGAGAGGCAGCACCTTACGATCCCTGGCCGCCCCTCGGAGGCTGGGATCGTTGCGCGTTTCCCGAACAGCACTCCACCGTTCGGACGCCTATCTTTCCGCATCGCCAGCAGAATGTGAGTCGCCGGTTCCGGCACTCCTTCGTCCAGTGGTCCGCGCCCCCGCATCTGCGACACGCGTTGGCCGGATTCTGTATAAATCCACTGCGAAAGGCTGGTGATCCGTGTTCCTGCGGCGTATGCCTCCGTGGCGCCTCCGTGTCCTCCTGGCACCGCCTACACACCGCACCCTGCTCTGCCCTTGGCCTTGGCACTGGGCGGTTCTGTGTCCTCTGGGAGTGGTTTTCCATTTCAAACTTCTCCCGTTGCTCCTCCAGCTCCTCAAACTCGTCTGCCAGCGCCATCAGGGTGTCCAGGTGCCGACACTCGTACGGCCGGATAAACATTCGGAGGGCCGGCGTGCTGTTCTCCTTTATCCTGTTCAGGACTTCTTTGGCAGACATACCCAGGGGCCGCATCATCTTCTGCATGTCCACCATGTAATCTTTAAATTTTTCCCCGTATGTCTGCCTCCGCTGCCTGACCTGGTCCGCAAGCTTCTCCATGTAGCCTCGAGGAAGGAAATATCCTTGGAAGCTGAATATGAAGTCTCCCCAGCTGTCCCACTGCCGGTTGTTGGCTATGAACCACTTTAGGGCTCTGCCCTGCAGCAGCTCCGGCATTGCTCGTGGGATCTGGTTTATATCCAGACCATATGTCACGGCTGACCACTCGACCTGCTCCAGGAACTCCAGTGGCTTGTCGTTGCCGTCATACCGAAAGTTCCACTCTCGGACTTGCTTGGCCACCTTGGCGTAGTCCTGCGGATGTGGCCGTACGCCTTCTTTCCTCTCGCGGCTGCCTTCTCGCTGCCTGCCGTCGCTTGCCATGCTCTGAATATCCAGGCTTGCAATAAGGCCTTCGGCATCTGCGGCTGTTAGCTTGTATTTTGGGACCGGCAGCTTCCGGAATTTGACCTCCAGACCTGCCACTAACTCTGCCACGACCGGGTCTTCTGTTATGCGGTCAACCGTCACTGCCAGGGTCTTCCTCATCGCCTCTACCGAGCACTCAAGTTCTATTCCCAGAACATTGCTCACCTCGGCGAAGTCCTCCTTCCTGAGATTATAAATCCAGGACTTTCCCATCTTTGATCTTTTGTTCTCTTGGTCAGGACAATCACTCATGGGCGCCAGATGTAACGACCTGATTTCTATGTATTCTCGCTCGCTACGTTAACGGGCGGCTAGCTCAGAGAGGTTATGGGTTCGTTCCACCAAATTTATATTGGGTGATTGCCTTTGACCAATGAATAACGCAAGAGTTCTGTTGGGATCGTAACTGTCTTTATTCGTCTCCTTGTACAAGCCTCGCGGTTCTTCAGCTGCCCCACGTTGGGCGCCAGATGTAACGACCTGATTCCCATGTATTCTCGCTCGCTACGTTAACGGGCGGCTAGCTCAGAGAGGTTATGGGTTCGTTCCACCAAATTTATTTTGGGTGATTGCCTTTGACCAATGAATAACGCAAGAGTTCTGTTGGGATCGTAACTGTCTTTATTCGTCTCCTTGTACAAGCCTCGCGGCTCTTCAGCTGCTGCTGCTCCTCGTCGTCGTCCTCTGCGGCGTCGCTCCTCGTCGCTGTCCTTCGCGGCGTCGCTTCTCGTCGTCGACTGCTTGCTGGTATCTGCCTCGTGACGGCTCCTTCGAGACTCTGGATGTTATGCGAACCTCACTATCGGGACCGGCAAGGTGTTTCGCCTAGCAGGTAGAACGCCGTTCTGCCTTTCCGCCCAGCTACCTTTATCGCAGGCTCCCTCAGTTGGTCCGGATTGTGTCGGCAAGGTGTATCGCCTAGCCGGTTATCGCAGACTCCACGCAAGGACTCCCTGAGCTCGATTTAACCACGACCTAGCACCCTTTGGATCTCAGCGTTGAAGCCTCAGCCTTGTAGACTCTCAGTCGTTCGGCGTCTCGTCTTTGCGATCTTGATCCTGGTACTCGGCACTTGATTAACTTGCTACTAGTCTCGCGTACACGCACTCGCTTTGATTCTCGCACTATTACTCCTCCTGTGTGCTGCGCTTGCGCCGCCTTTTATAGCCTGTGATGGTCCCGTTATTTCCCTTTTCCAGCTCGCGTGATCGGGTCCAAGGTCCACTGCCGCACCGTTAGTTCACGGTGCGTCCTCTTTGTGCGGGTCCGAAGTTCGCCAATTTACCGTTCGACCCTGTTGCCCTTGCCGTATGAGGGTCCAATGTCCAGCGTGGTACCGTTAATTCACGGTGTCTCCGCTTTGCCCGGGTCCAAGGTCCGTTGTTAACCGTTTGACCTTTTTGCCCTTGACACCTCCGGCATTCTCGCCTCCTTCGCTGTTGCTATGCAGCTCTCCTGCCTCAGAATTTGTGGGGAGTTTTAAGACTCCTCACATTTCCCCCTTTCTTCGGAAATGTTATGAAAGTGGTGATCTCCCCGCCCCTGTTGTTCGTTCATTCAAATTCCCCCTCCCAAACTCGTTCTCCTCGTGACCCTATACAGTTCCCCAAAAGACTTCAACTTTCCCTGAGCTGCCCTCGTAAGACTCCCCCCAGACAGCGCTCTGAGAGACCTTTAACTTTCCCATGGCTGTGCTGCGTTAGCCTGTTCCCCAGACGGTTCCCCGAAAGACTTGAACTTTCCCAAAACTGCATCTCGTTCCTTCGATAATTCCCCCGCGTAGAATTTGAATTTCCCGCCCAGACATTTCCCTTTGTTTGACATCACCATTCCGTCGCCTGACCACACCTCGATCGCACTTATCGATAGTGGTTCCAGCATTGCCATCGTTGTTGCCGTTATCGTTTCCGTTGTCTTAAGTTGCCTCCGTGTGACCGTTTCTTGAGAAATCCAGTATTTTTTGTACCCATCGATCGCAACTATCGATCGACCGCCTATCGCCTGGCGCCCCCGTCCCTAATTTCCTCACGGCCTCGTTGTTTTGAAAAAACTGGTAAGTTAACTTGCTGATGATAGTTTTCCTTTAAATAACGACTTTTTTCTTTACAGCGACACCATGACCATGATGCCCCTGACATGTCTCGGGGTGCTGACCCTGGACCGCGTGCCCCGGGAGACCCTTGCGGCGGCAAGTGACCCCCCTCGCCATACGCCTGCGGCAGCCTCGTGTTTTCTGCCGGTCCGCGTGCTTGGCCCGCGATTCCCCCCCTCACCGCCCCCGTTCCGCGATTGGCTGCTGCGGCGGACCACTCTTTTTTTTCTGTGTTGTGCCTTGTTGTGATCCCCTGCCCAAAAAATAACTGCTGGGCTCGAATGCTATTATTTGTTTATTGGGCCTTAAACACCCGCACCCGACCCCCTGCTACCTTGACTCGGTAGCGCTGTCCCTCCTCCAGCACGAGCTTGGCCCACCTGGCCTTCCTCTGCCTCCCTCGCTGTCGCTGCGCCTCTTCGGCCACCCGCGCCGGCCAATCCGCCTCCGGAACCTCCGCCCACGGCTCCGCGCCCTCCGACTGCTGTCTCCGCAGCGTCGGCCTCGCCGGTGGAGCTCGCGACTCCGGGCACGAAGTCTGCCGCGCCAGCTTCGGGGGTGGCGCCGTGTCCCGCGACGTCTCCGGCGGGGTTGGCCACTCCCATGGCCCCTTCTCCAGCCCCTCCTGGGCCTCGCGTTCCTCCACGGTCGTCACCCCCAGCCCCGCGCGATCGGCCGTCTCCGCGACGCGTTTCGTCGACCTGGCCCTCGGATCGCGAGGGCTCAGCGGCGGTGGGCGCCGCCACCTGCGCTTGTGGCAGGTGCCACTCCTGCTGCCTCGGCGGCGACAATGGTGGTGGTGTTGGTGAGTGTGGCAGCGGTGACGGCGATCGTGGTGGCGGCGGTGGTGGTGGCGTCGGCGATCGTGGTGGCGGTAGCGGCGGCTGCGTTACCGGCGGCGGCCGCGCTGCTGGTGGAGACTGCGGTGCCGACTGCTGCTCCTGCGGCGGCTGCGGCTGCCCCTGCGGCGGCTATGGCTGCCCCTGCGGCGGCTGTGGCTGCTCCTGCGGCGGCTGTGGCTGCTCCTGCGGCGGCTGCGGCGGCTCCTGCGGCGGCTGCGGCGGCTCCTGCGGCGGCTGCGGCGGCTCCTGCGGCGGCTCCCACAGTGCGGCCTCCTCGGCCTCGGCTTCCCTCAGCCACTGCTGCCACGCGGCGACTGCTGCACTCCTCGCCCCCGCCGGGCCTCCCATTGGCGGACAGTGACCGCCCGCGCCTCCAATATACGAGCCCACTCTTTGGGCTCGCCCGACGGTGGTATGTGCCCTAGGCCGATCCTCCCGAGCCCTGCCGTCTCCCTGCTCAACCGGCGGAAGATCATCCTATCCCTCGCAGCTCGCCGCGCCACGTCGTCCTCGTCCGACGACACCTCGGGACTGACGGTCTCCGTCCCCTCCTCCTCCTCCTCACTCGCGTCCTCCGGCCCACTCTCGTCGGAAGAGATGGCGACGACCTCTGCGATCTCCGTCGCGTCTGCGCCTGGGTCCTCCTCCTCGGACGGCAGCTCCACGTCCGAGATCTCCCCGGCGGACTCCTCGTCCGCCTCGCTGACCGGTGACGGGGATCGCGACACCAGGGGGGACGCCAGAAGCTGGAGAACGGAATCGGAGTTATAGCCGTTGTATTTCGCCCAATTGTCAACCAGACATAGAACTTAATAACTCTAACTAACACAGACATTTATTCTATTAATCGGACTACTAACATAAACTTGAACCTCGTCTGCATATAAACGGATTTCACAACCGGACAAGACACTAGGCAAATCATTAGCATATATGGAATACAATAGAGGTCCTCAAAACAGATCCCTGAGGAGCTCCCCTAGTTAAATCACTAAGGCTGGACATAGAACTCCCAGATACCACTGCTTGTTGTCTGCCAGCAAAATATAAAGAAATAAAATGCGCATCAGTATCTGCAATTATACTAGTAACAAATATTTTGGTGAAGATGTTTAACTTGTCCTTCAACTTCTGAGAGTGCGTATATTCTATCCCATACACAAGTGTTGCATGCAACGTTTAAGTGCTTAGTTGATGTGTGTATAGTTCCTAATGAATATAGTCTGCTCATTATATTGAAGGTCAAAGGCGTATGACAGAAAAATATGTTTAGAATGACACGGTACAATTAGTTGATCTAATAAAGCTATTTGGTCAGTATTAGTGACCAGAAGTCTGATGTCCAATGAATTTCTGGCATGATTACCAATATTAAGTTAGAACAACTTGAAATATAAAATAAAACTTTACAAGACAGCTGATAAAAACTTAAAAAAATCTTAAAAAAAAAAAAGTTATAGCCATAACATCATTGTTGAATCACATCACATTTATTTGGGAAGAACCACGTTTCAGATATATTGTTGAACGTTGATGCACTACAAAAAGTACAAAAAAGTGGCCCAACGAAACCAAGCACGAGCTTGTTACGCGCGGGCCCTATTAGCATAGTGGGCAGTTATCGAGTTTGCGAGAAAAACACAAATAACATAATGTAGACCCATTTAATAATATCAAAACTATGTACGGTGCAAATATGTTATAACTGTTGTTTTTAAGACAAGGATAGGGGTTGAAATGCAAATTTGATTTTATAAATTATTATAATTACTACAAAGAACACGAAAGGGTTCATGCAGGCTAAAATGTGAGGTACATCTTGGCAAGTTAAGAGTTTGGTAGTTGCGGGTTGGTCTGAAAAGCACTTAAAAAGTTAAGCGGCTTCTTCTATATAGTCTATATCACCTTTGACAAGATTGTGCATACAAATAGTTGCAAGCATGATTCTACGATTAACAAGAGTAGGTAAATTGAGCAATAGAAATCTACTAGAGGAAGAAGGCAACTTTACGTTTTGATCCCAGTTCAAACCACGACGGCCGAAAAGAAGAAAGTTTTTTGTGCCGACTCAATACGATCAATGTGTACTTGATATTGGGGACTTTAAACGGCAGCGCAATATTCTAAATTAGGACGGACAAAAGAAGTAAATAATAATTTAGTTGTATAAGGATCGTCAAATTATTTTGACCATCGCTTAACGAATCCAAGAACACATAACATAATGCCATGTTAACCGTAGACTTTATGTTACAGTCGAATTTTAATTTTGGGTCAAGAAGAACTCCGAATTCGTTGACCGAATATATTCGGTCCAGTGGTATAACATGAAGAAAATCGCTTATAAATGAGGGCGTACCCCTATAAAAAGTCATTACTTTAAATTCAGATTTAAGAGGTTAGATTGACACCATCTCTGAAAACAATTAATATCAGACCGAAACCCGATTGCAAACTATTATAGGATAAACAAAGTTTAGCATCATCAGCATACATTAATACTCGAGAGTGTGTTATGACATAAGGAAGATCATTGATGAACAAAGTAAATAGCAATTGCCCCAAATGACCACCCTGAGGTACTCCAGAAGTAACGTTAATCATATTGAAAACTGCTTTTTTTCAGAGTTCTTCCATTCTATAAAATTCAAATCCAAGTTAAAAGATTATTCGAAAACCGGAGCTGATCTATTTTAAATGATTAACGGAATCAAAAGCCTTACTTAAGTCTGTATGTATAACATCAGTCTATATATTATTATATAATCCTTAACTATAATAGATGTCAATTCAAGTAGATTCGCTTAACAAAACCTTGTTGATAAGGTGGTATTAGTGAGGAACACTAATACTGCAAATAAGAAGTAATAATGCGCTCAATTGCTTTAGGTATTTCCTCCCGCTTTATGGACTGGAATAATAAAAGAATTTTTCCAGATAGTTGAACAACTGAAGAATCGGTTTACAAATAGATGAGGTTCAAAAGCTCAGCACGCAGGCTCCCCGGCACTGGAGACTGTGTTAGTGTTGTGGTCTCCAAATCGTTTAGAATACAACATTATATTATTTCCGGGAAAAAAACATTTTGTGCTGTTTAAATTGTAAGGGTAAACTGAATTTTGACAAGAATCCGCACTACAGGTAGTTTGGAAGAACTTGGAAAATAAATAAGCAATTTCAGATTCGGTAGACGCCTCAATTGAGTTTAATCGTACTGATGAAGGCAATGCGAAGTTTTTTCGCTTGATATTTACAAAGGTATAAAACTGCTTCGGGTCATTTGAAAATTCGGCTTTACACCGGCTTTAAAACCTAGAACAGCATTGACTGTTCAGAACATTGTTTGTTTGTTTTTAGGTTTTAGGTTTAAGACTTAAAACGCTATAGAATAATTCAGTGGCACTTTCCTTATCCATGCAATGGTATAAGTACGGAAATAAAGAAGTTTAGCTTATTAAAGTCGTTCGTTTTCGTTTTAGTTTCACAAACTAAATGTGAATTGGGATATTGTCAATTCCATTATGGGGTGGTATACAACGACCTCAGACGGATCCAAAACAAATACAAGAACTAATTGCCTATTTAAAGTGTTACGTATAGAGCTAATTTGTTTGTAATGATAGGTCTAAAAGTCCATCAACAAAGTCATGAAACGACAAAGGCGTGCAAACCGGTGAGTTAGGAGAAGGTGTATCCAAGATATATCTGGGAGAGTAAAATCTCCCCAAAACAATCAAATGATACCTGTCAGAAAGTTGAGATAGAACTGATTTAATAGCAGACAAATGATGTTCATAAATTAAAATGTCACATATAAAAACAGGTTATAAAAATAGATAAAGCATATAAGGAAACTTTTACACTAACAAATTCTATTACATTGAGGTTATCAGTCTTAATTATCTCCGATGTAAGACTGGTGTTAACAGCAATATGCACCCCCACCTCCCCTTCGAGAAACGCGACCAGTTCTATAAGTGTTAAAGTTGTTTGGAAAAACTTCGAAGTTGGAACTCTCCGGTTTCAGCCAAGTTTCTGTGAAGACTAAAATATGTTCATTAAGGGCAGAGGAGCCAATGTTCAGCCTAAGTAACTTCATATTTAGTCCGATTACGTTTTGATGGGATAGAAATATATAAGTGTTCAGTTTTTTGGATCAGACTCTAAATTCTGAGGCCGATTTATATTTCCTTGTCTGTTAGGGACAAATTCTTTTATTATTAGTTTATCATCAGGCTAAAAGGGAGGAACAGATATTTTAAAAAAAACTATATCTTGCGAGCGTATAAATATTTAATTAATGTAATGTTTGGGGATGGGTATTTTTTTATAGCTAAAAGTCTCGGTTTTGTAATGCTAAGGTGACTCAGCTAGCAGTTTTTTACTACTAAACTGTTCACTTACCGCGTTGAACTCTTAAGTGATTTCTTTTAGTACTCCAAGAATCTTCTTAAAACCGTCACGAGTCTGCCTCATAAAGCCAATCATCCCAAGTTCCATTTCCCTTCAGGACTCACATGACCACTTGAGCCCAGGTCGCAGGTCAATGTAACCCTAACTCTTCCAACAAATCCTGCACACTTTGCATGCTTAATTGTATCGCAGAGCCAGCAGAGGATAATTATATCTTTTGATGTAGATGAAAGCTGCCAACCTTTCTTGGCACAGGTAACAGGCATAATTATTAAATATTTGTTTTGTTAAGTAAGTAAAAAAATAAAAACCTCGGTCAATTCGACACTGGGATCAAATGAAAACACACAATATGAAAACACAAAAGTAAAAGAAACGCGTGTAAATACAAAAGCGAAAGAGCGCGATATAAAATCTATTCTATCGACTGAGCCGGGCTTGTGAATCACTAACAACTATGTACGTACATAGTTAGATAATGCGCAAAAAGTAGAGCAGGAGGAAGAGACAGAAAAATGTTACTCGTGCATTGGCAAAGCATGCACAAGAGAATGAAATTACAATAACAATGCAATTACAATATTAAAACTCTAATAGTGAGTACAGATTTATAAGAAAAGCCTAGTGCTAAACACACACAATGTAATTAAGCAAAGCTTGGTTAAAAAAAACACCATTACTTTTAGAAATTAGTCTAAACTTGCCAGTTATAACAAAGCAAAAAATCGATACAACCGATCACAAGCGACGCTAAATCGTATGTGATGGTCTCGTTATCCCTCTCCTCCAGCTCACGTGATCGTGTTAGTTCACGGTGTCTCCGCTTTGCCCGGGTCCAAGGTCCGTCGTTTACCGTTTGACCTTGTTGCCCTTGACTCCTCCGGCATTCTCGCCTCCTTCGCTGTTGCTATGCAGCTCTCCTACCTCGGAATTTGTGGGGAGTTTTAAGACTCCTCACAAATTCTAATGGCGATATCACAAAGCTTATGGTGAAGTCCGATGGGATAGCTTTTGTTCAGCCTTGCGTCTACAGTTTCGACCGAGTAGGGATGATGGTGATCTTGAGGAGTTGATTAGGAACACCAAACAAAAGTCAAACGAAACTTTTGATAGTTTCTATGACACCATTTCAAGTCTAATCGATCTATTAGAACAGCCTTGGATGCCTCACAAGCTCATTCGGGTTCTCCGAAACAATCTTCGTCCCGAAATTAGACATGAAATCTTGAATATCGACATTCAATCAGTTTCAGAACTGAGGGAGATTTGTCGCAGGCGTGAAGCGTTTTTGTCTGATGTTAGACGTTGTCAGGGTTATTTCAAATCTTCCCCTTTCAAACGTGAAGTCTCGGAATTTAGTCCAGAACAGGTGATGCCTCCAGAATCGGAATCCGATAAAGAAGGCGATATCGAAGCCTTTTCCTTGTTGTGCTGGAATTGCCGCAAGGAAGGTTACAGGTATCAGGACTGGGTAGCCGAAAAAAGAGTTTTTTGTTACGGAGGCGGAGCTGTCAACACATACAAAACAAGTTGTAACAAGTGTTCAAAAAACTCCAGAGCGGACGGGTCGATGCCGCCATACAAACAGAAGGCATCCAGTGGCGTTCGGAGCCAAGCAACTATGACCGATCAATAGACCATGCAGCTATAGTTGCACCAACATTTTTTCCTGACGTACAAATATCCCCAGACTGTCCTTTGCTTGCCAGCGAAACGCAGTGCCTTAGGAAGCACCCCAAATTTCTCAGTGAACTTAACGAGGAGTTATCTCGGCCAAATAAGCATATAGGCTAGGAAAAAAATGTCCAATTAGATCGGCCCTAACCCAAATTTAGAAAAAACAAGAAAGGAAGCAAACTTCGGCAAGCCGAAGTTTATATACCCATGCAGCTATTTCAAAAACTAAATACTCTTTAAAACGTTTAAATTATGATTTACTTGCGTGTATGTTTAAAAACATTGAAGCTATGATGATTTGCAGTTTAATTATTTGATAGTTCCTATGGCAGCTATACGATTGTTCCTATGGGAGCTATATGCTATAGTCGTACGGTTTTGATAAAATGTAAACCGTAATTCTGAAATATTTAACCATTACTATATCTCAAAGAACTAAAAAAAAATATGATTGTTCCTATGGGAGCTATATCTCAAAGAACTAAAAAGAAAATTAAAAAACACAAAAGTAATAATTTTTTTATATTTATTTTTATGATTGTTCCTATGGGAGCTATATGCTATAGTCGTACGATTTTGATGAAATTTAAACCCTAATTCTGAAATATTTAACCATTACTATATCTCAAAGAACTAAAAAGAAAATTAAAAAACACAAAAGTAATAATTTTTTTATATTTATTTTTATGATTGTTCCTATGGGAGATATATGCTATAGTCGTACGATTTTGATGAAATTTAAACCGTAATTCTGAAATATTTAACCATTACTATATCTCCAAGAACTAAAATAAAAATTAAAAAACAACAAAGTTATATTTTTTTTGTTTATTTTTTCGATTGTTTCTATGGGAGCTATATTATATAATCGTCCGATTTTGATGAAATTTAAATCGTAGTTCTGAAGTTTTTAACCATGTCCATGTCGGAAACGTCTCCTTCACTGCGTTGCAAACTTCTGACTGAAATTATAATATCCTCTGCAAGGGTATAAAAATGTAAAATCTACGCTTGGGCTCGATCATTAACCTCATTTGTAACCTAAAAAAAATTCAGCTAGCGAAAAATGTTCACGTGCATATCAGCCAAACAGGCTACACTGGGAGAAATTCCTAAGCATGTGTTAACGTAAATCAAGAAAATATGTATTAAAAGAATGCGATTGAATATTGAAGTGACAATAATTATGTTATGGAAAAAATTTAATTTATTTAAATAATTATAAGATTTAAAATAAGTTATGAATTATCTAGTGCGCGGTTAATTTACGGTTTCTATCTCCCTGCCAAAAGTTTTCTTAAATTCGTTTTGATTCGAAAAACCATAAAAATAATTATGGATAATTATAAGTGCACATATATTCCCATGTCAAAGCAGGAATGCCTTGATTTCTTTTCCAGACTGCCTGCGTCGGAAGATCGATCGTACGCCGAGGAACCTGCTGTGTGAGTTGTTTTACCTTTACTTCAAATTATTACAAAAAAAAAAAACTAAAATATTTGCGCCAATTATTATAAATTCTCATAAACGAAAAAACAAAAATATATATATATGTCGGAGATGGCTCATTTATTTCCATTTTTCGGACGCAGCAAGTTCTGTTCGTTTCAGTGGCGCGATCGTAACTGAACTCGCTACGCACATTCCAAGTTATTTCACAAGTTTTGTAAATCATAATGCTATCTTTTTTCTACGCCCCTACGAACAGACCTTACTCAACAGCAGAGTATGCCTCTTTTCCTTAGCTGTTGTGCGTTCTGAAAACCACCGTTAGCGACATCGTGTCGCCACTCAAACTAACCATTCTATGCCACACATATACAGTGGGCAAATTAATCATTCTACGACACGGCCTTCCTGACAAATCACACGTCCTCGTGTGTTTGATCTAGGATTTTCTCAATTATCGTCAAATTTTATTTAATTCATTAACTTTTATTTATATAAAGTTTCAACTTTTATACCAAACAATCAAATTGGTTTTACAATGACATCACTTAGACGTTTTCATAACATTTTGTCTTAAGTCAAACTTAACAATTCTTCTTTTCTGTAATTCCATTATGTTGTGTAGTTATTCTAACTGATTTTAGCCATAACAAGTCCTTCTGTCATGGTGCTATCAACACTGACCCCCCGCCACAGCAAGTCCTTCTACTATGGTGCGATCGATTGACCCCCGCCATAACAATTCCATCTGTTATGGTGCGGTCGATTGACCCCCGCCATAACAATTCCATCTGTTATGGTGCGGTCTCTATATCCCCTCTTGGGATTCCAAGGCAACTGCTGTGCCATCTTTATCTCTATTTCTCATTTGAGAGTCAGATGCATCTCCTCTTGAGTCATCTAGTTCTTCATCAATTTCTTTACTTAATTCTCTATTGGGCAATGCCCTCAAAAACTCATGTGCATACTTATAAGTTCTTTTGCTTGTTAAAGACTTTAAAACATATCTTTCGCCATCTAGTTGTTCGATTATTTCGAACGGACCTTTAAATTTCGGATCAAGCTTAGTTTGGTGACGCTCTTCGTTTTTTAGTAAAACATGGTCTCCCACATTATATTTTATTATCCTTGCTTTATTCTTATCATATCTATGTTTATCATAACGAGCATTAGCCTCCATATTTTCCTTGGCTTGTTTTCTTATAGACTCTCTATCAATTAAATTATCCTCTTCTTCACCTATTGGTAACAAACAAAGAGGTCTAGATTCTCTACCAATTAGCATTTCTAATGGACTAAACTTTGTGACTCGATTGGTGGTACAATTAATTGCCAATTGTACTTCGGTTAGAGCATCTTGCCACGACCTCTGACTGGTTTCGACTGCTGTCAACATACTCTTAAGCGTGCTCATTATACGCTCTACCTGGCCGTTTGCCCTACTCGCGCCTGTAGCAATTAAGTGTAGCTCAATCTTTTGGGAGGAACAAAATTCACGGAATCCTGAGCTTGCAAAATTACGGCACCAAACAAACACACGACGGCCTTAACAGCTTTGATTGAACATTCAGTATCAATATTTAAGGTGTGATGTAAGTAAACAAATTTCGTGAACGCATCTACTAAGACAATTACGTACTCCTTTAGGTCATTCTTTCCACTCATCTTTCCTGTTATATCAATATGCACTGTGTGCCACGGGATGTCTACCTTAGGAATCGAATGTAATTCAGATTGAATTTTTCCAACTGGTGGCTTAGCTAATTTGCAAGTAATGCAATTTTCAACAAATCTACGAACGTACTTTGACATATTTTCAAACCAGTAAAATCCATAGACTTTATCCAATGTTTTCTCCCAACCTAGATGCATGATGGATTCATGAACATGATTAATCACTGGCCATCAAAATGCCCTAGGGATTACAGGCAAACATTTAGTCCTGCCATTTCGTTGTATCTTTCTATATAAAACTCCTTTCCTTAATTCATAGGTTTTAAATAAATGTTATTTTTGAACTTAGCTAATATATCTGCTACCTCAGGGTCACGTTGTTGTTCAGAAATCAACCAGTTGTCAGTTACCTCGGTTAACTCGTACGAATGATATTTTGACTCAGCAGGGGATGTGCATTTACTAT